TTTACTAAATTATCAACATTTTTATAAAATTCACATGATAAATTATCAATTAATTTTTGACATTCATTATTTATATTTTTATTTTTAATTTTATCATTTATACAATAATATTGTTTACTTCCTAATATAGTCATTTTAGGTTTATACCCTGTTTTTTTTAATTCTTTAATAATTTGTTTAATTTGTGAATGTGTTCTACAACAATATATTATTTTAGGTATATTTTCTATTTTTAGTATTTCATTCTCTGCTTTATTAGAATATCCTTTTTGAAAATAATTTAATATTTTACTAATTTTATTACTATCTATATTTAGATTATTTATATTTGAATTATTTATATTTAAATTTAAATTTGAATTATTTAATGATAAATTTGTATATTTTTGTATAATTTTAGCTTTATAATATTGTTGCCAACATAAAGTAGCACATAATAAACTTAATGTTTTACCAGTTCCCTAATTTATATAAATTAATAATAAATATTAAATATAAATATAATTAAATAAATATTAAATAAATATTAAAAAATAAAAATAAAAACATACAGTTGGACTTTCTAAAATAGCATTTGATTTTTCTGTTGAATCCAAAGTATCAATAATTCTATTCATAAATTCTATTTGTGTATCATATGGTTTATATGGAAATAAACATTCATATGAATTTATTAATTTTACTTTAACTTGTTCTATTGATGATGATGATTCATTATTACTATTTATATTATTATTTAAATTATTAAATGAAGATGATTGTTTATTTAATGATGATGGAGATGATGAAATTAAAATAGGAGAATGTTTTCTCTTTTTTTTCATGAGAGTAACAAGTGGTGAATCAAAATATTTACTTGCTTCATCGTCGGTATTTTCATCATCATCATCATCGGAAGATAATGTTTCAGGTGTATAAATAAATCGTTTTTTAGGTTGTTGTTGATTTTGATGATGGTGTGATGATGACATTTTTTTAAATTATATTTGAATAAAGTTCTAATAAAAACAAGATTTAATAATTACTTGATATTTGGGACATGATTTCGAACCTTTTTTAATTGTTGTATGTGACTAAAATTTTCTTTACCAGTTATTCATTAAATTAGTGGTATATGATTGAGTGAATTGAAGAAAGAACTGGTGTTTTACATGTTGAATTTGCATTGGTGTGATAATCAAAATTTAGAAAATTGTTAAAAATATGAAGGAGTGGAATTTTCTAATGATTGTTTTATTAATTTACATAATTTTAATACATACTTAAATGTTATGAATTATGAATCATTACAAAATTTAAAAATATTAAAATACTTATCAATAGAGCTACTGTTGACGATTTATTGAGCTGGGTGAATCATGTTTATGAGTTGT